GATTGATTACTTTGAAGTTTTTATTAGCAAAAATAGATCATCAAACTTTGAGAACAGAGAAAGTGAAGATGCAAATCCCATATATATAAATCATTGCTCGCTATCTCTAATGGTTGCAGTTCATTTGAATACTTTGCCCCATGGTTGGGCAAAAGTGGCAAATCTAGCAATGGGCTTTTGTCTTTGCTTGTTCTTCTTTCTGTCTTCTCTCACTGTTTAAGACACAAATATCTAGTAAATTTTTTATGTTTACAAACAATTTTTGGTTTATTTTCTTGCTGAAAATATGCTTAAACTATTTTTTTGTTCATAGAGAGAGCCTGGTGTTGCTTGATTCAAATCCTACAATGGGTCTAATAAGTGTATAGGATTTTTTTTATCTTATGAACATCTCCGTTTATCAAAATGTTCGCATGATTAGGGCACGGCTTGTTTAAATTAATGTTGAATATGCTGAGAGTTTGCATCTTTTATATCACTATTTTTTTCTTTATGTGATAGCTTCTTATAGTTTCTAATGGTTTGGTTTTCTTTTACACATTTCGCATTGTTTTGTTTCCACATAAAGTAAGAAATATGGATGTTAGGAAATGTGTAGCTATTTTAGTAGGGTGCTTTGTCATACTTTTTGTCTTGCTAGTTCGCAAAAGGAAAAAACTTAGGGATACTCATGAATTAAGACTACAGAGAGAGGAAGCTTGGGATAAGCTTATGAAAAGTTTGGTCTCAATTCAGTTTTATTAGCACATCATTAGGATTAGAGCTCCAACCTTTATGAATTTATGTCACATACTAGCTATAGATAGTGGACTTAAGCCTACCGCTCATGTAACTATAGAGGAACAAGTAGCCAAGATACTTTACTTACTAGAACACACTTAGAGGAATCGAGTCATATCTTAGATTTTTTGACAATCTAAAGAGACGATAAATCATCATTTCCATAATGTACTATGATGTATAGTAGAAATGGCAGATAAATTTATTAATCAACTAGACGGATCACAAGTTCCTTTGAAAATAGCGAACAATCCTAGATTTTTTCCATTATTTAAGGTGAACATATAAGTTATAAGTGTTCGATTTTTTTTTAAAATAAGTTTAAGTTTAATTAAATAGTGAACAATTAATTTTAGACATGTGTTGGTTCGATGGATGGAACACATATACGTGTGTAAGTGTTTAGAAAATATGCTCTAAGGTTTCGCAAGAGAAAAGATTTCTCCACACAAAATGTATTGGGAACTTGTATATTTGATTTAAAATTTTCTTTGCGTGATGCAATTGAGTATGCTTTTGGAGTTCTTAAGAAACATTTTCCAATTACTGGAAGCTCTAGTGAACCTCATTATCGGCTCAAGACTGTTTGTAATACCT